GTTGGATGTGAACATTGCTGGAAATGCTTGTTGGCTGGATGAGGATGAGGAGGTTGGGGCCCCAGGGAGCCTGCCACTTCACCCAATGCCCCAAAAGCCATGTTGACTTTGTCAAAAAAAAGGAAAGTTCAACTGAGTAAATTTTAAAGATGTTATTGGCCTTATTCAATGATTCATGAATTGGGCAGCATCCCATCCAGCAAATAGAAAGGAGCTCCAAAGTGCTGTACAAAATGGGAGACTTCCATAGGCAGAATGGGGTGGGACAAGGTAGTTACTAGCAAAGAGTGGATTCTTTCAGGCAAAGTTACCTTCCTTTGGGGCATGACAGGGTCTATCACTAGTGTAACCACTAGTGTGACCACAGGCCCACTTAGACCCAGTTGGAGCATATCCCATCTCTTATCAACAGAGTGATTAAGAAATTGCCTTTCAGAAAATTTGCAAAGTCGTGTAGCCAGAGGATGTGCAGAAGAAGAAATCTTGACCTGAAATGACTGCAGAACTAAAGATTCTCCTCCCCATGGAACCAGAGGACTGGGACACGACCGGAACTTAAAAGTCAGACTATTATCAGAAGCGAGGGGTCTGTCATTCAGGAAGATCCGGTGTTAAAATTCCTTTCTCACCTCATCATAACAGTTTAGAAGCTCATCATAAATGTTTAGAACCTGACCATAAATGCTTGAAGCCCACCAATCAAAACCTGTCCCGCCAGTGTTTCTGCATGGCAGCCTGTCCTCCCTAACCTCTTAAATTTCATCCCAAACCCTGAATCAGGGAGACAGATCTGAGGGCACCCGCCCCCTGCCTCCCTGCAGATGGATCTCACAGAAGAAAGCTGATTTCTTTTCCCAATAGCTGATGCAGTATGTTTATGTGCATCGGGAAGGAGAACCCCATTTTGGTGTGGTAACACTAGTGCTGACCAGGTTAATTCCAGAATGGCTAGTTAAGGTCACATTCCTGGGAGAGGGTGAAACTGCCATGAGGTTAGGTATTACGTCTCAGTTTGGTGATGTGGGCTCAGCACAAGTGACTCCATTGTGGGCCTGTTATCTCTTTTTTAACAACTTTTTGTACTCCAGGATCATTTCACGAGTGATCATTATCATCCTTAAGTCAAGTAAAGCAGAATTGATTGCTGTGTCTCCAAGGAGGAAATGAACAAAAGAGTGACATTTTACAGGAAACAGCTGAATCTTCAGTCTTCAAGGAGCTGAAATACAAACCATTAATCCCCAAATTTCAGAACGGCACCACAAAGTTGTAACTGAAGCAATTAAATCCATTGCCCTGACTCTCAACGGAAACTGTCCCCCCCCGCCCCCCCAGGAGAGTTTGATCACCCGAGCATTTTGTGGAATCGAGAGTTGGAGGGGAAGTTTTCAACTCGGGACTCCTCTCTGGCTTTGACTCCGGTTTTCTCTTTTCACACTCTCAGCCATATGTGGTCCACCCTGCTGCCCTCTCCCCCACTCTCTCCACATGTGGTCCATGTTAGGCCTGCCCCTCTCTGCCCTGTCCTTACTGTCCTCCCTTGGCTTCCCAGACAGGCTAGAGGTGGTGCCTCGCCAGGCTCCGAGGGCCTTGTCCCAGTCATTTCTCTCACACCTTGCTGTCAATATTCCCAGCCTGCATCACTTCTCTACTTGTGCCTTTTTCACAGAATGACCTTGCCTCTTACTCCACAGAGAATACAGGGTTCATCTGGAAGCAACATTCTTCTGCCCCCCTGCTCCCCAAACCAACCAAAACTATACATGCCTCTCTCTCTCTGGCCTCAGAGGTCTGCACTCTGGACTCCTCTTCCTTGGTCACCTCCCAACCAGGAACCCGTCAGTTCCTCAGGGTCCCATCCTTAGGTAGCATTTAGAGGAAAGTACAGTTTGTTAACAGAAAGAGAATCGAAGCTCTCTGTTTGGTGGTCAGGTGATCTGTGACCAGAGGATGGGGCAACAGTCTTCCCTTTCCCCTACCCCCAGTCACCTCAGCCATTTGGAGCCCACCTCGAGGGATGCTGGATGCTGGTCCGCTCCCTATTGTCCCCTCACTTGGCCTTGGCCCCTGCCCAGCCCTTGGGTCATGCTGCTTCTTGTTCTGGGCCTGGTGCTTGGGTGTTGGTTCCATGGCAGCATCTGGTTTTCTGCTTGGGATGGAGGAGGCTTCAGGGGCTCTGGGTCTTGAGGGTGGAGGGAGCAGAGGGAAGAAAATGGCCCATCATTTTCCAGCTCAGAAACGAAACAGCTACAAGACAAACCAAACTTTCCTTCCTTAATAGTCATAGTCTAATTTTGTTAGCTGAGACTGTCTTTTTCTCTGTTTTATCAAACTCCTTTTCATTATCCTCACTGGCAAAAGAGTGGGATAAATACATCACCAGGGCATAGTAGAGGGAAGGAAAACCCTGCCTTGTTACAGAGAAATGTTCTCCGGTATTGTTGAACAAGGTTCCCCTCTGATCTTGTTCCTTCTGCCCATAGCCTGGTCTCTCGCTCTGTTTCCCTTCCTGCCACTTCCCACTGGACACGTGGCCACATCAGCTGTCCTCAGTCTCGCTCCATCTCCCAGCTGCTCACCAGCCCACAATGCCTTGCTTTTTGGAATTCCTCTAAAATGATCTTGCCCAAGTCCCCTGGTGCCCTCCAGTTGTTGAATGCAACTCAGAGTTTTAAATTTTTTCTTTTGACTCTTCCAGAAAACCTCCCCTTCTTGGGCTCCTGAGATCATAGCTATTCTCATTTTCCTCTCATCTATAAGCTCTTCCTTCTGGGAAGACTCTGCCTCTTCGATGTGAATATTTCTTCTCTGTTTTCATGACTTTAATTGCCATCTAGTCTTTTCAATTTTTGAACCTCAGTGCATAACTTGGAACCTCCATATGTACCTCCTGACCCCAAAAGCTCAATGCCTACTCAATCTCCAGTCAAAGGCCCCTCAGCAACTTCAAAGTCAATCTGCCCAAGACTGAACTCATTGCCTTTTTTTCTAAATATTTTGCTAATATTTTTTCTTTTTTAACAAATGCCACCACCATTCATGTTGTCACTCACTGTCGCCTCCCATTTCTATCTGGCACCTTCTCTTCATCCACCCTGCCCCCACCTCTCTGAGGCCTCATCCCTCTCTCCTGTAACAGGCTCTCGGCCAGTTAGTCTCCTCCAGGACACTCTCCAGAGTGCTGCCAGGATAACCTTCCTCAAACCACTGTGGGGATTCAGACACATCTGTGGCTCTCCACTGAGTTATGTCAATATGAAACCCAAATCTCTTGTCAGGGCCAAGGGGCAGTTTGGGATCTGAACAAGACAAAAAGCCAGGCGATCCAACAATATGCAAACTAGACAGTCACCCTCTGATCCAAGCTGTCTGGAAGTAAAATTGAGAGTCTACACAGTTTGATATTTTTTTTCTTTTGGTGAGGAAGATTGGCAAAGATGTTAGCTCTTGTTAGCAAAGATGACCTGTGCCAATCTTCCTCTATTTTGTATGTGGGATGCCACTACAGCATGGCTTGATGAGTGGTGTGTAGATCTGCGTCTGGCATCCCGGCCCACAAACCTGGGGCCACTGAAGTGGAGCAGGCAAATTTAACCTCTATGCCACCGGGCTGGCTCCTGATTTTGTTTTTTAAATAAAGGAGACAAGTAGAGAGAGAGAAGATCCATAAAAACCAGAGGATGAACCTGGGCCTGCGGGGATGCTGGAGTAACTAGGGTATCATTGCAAGTGGGGCAGAGCCTCAGCTATCTGGGCACGTTGCCATCTTCCTCCAAAGTGACGGTGTCAACAGCTTCCTGTATGTGTTTACTAGTCTCTCTTGTTCAGGTTGCCTTTGAATCCAATGGTGTTTCTGGAATGTCCTCCATTGCCTTGTAAATATGCACTACAGCCCTCCCATAGCATGTGTTTAATAAATATGTTACATAGTCTTGGAATGAATGGATGAACCTGTCCCCTGGAGCAGGGATGTTGTAGTAACCCAGGTGTATCCTCAAATAAGTTAGCGTGGATGAGTTTACCCTAGAAATAAGCGATCAAGAGGTGGGAAAAAACTCATAGAACTTTTATGGAGGGAGAGGAGAGGAGTGGGTTCAGGGAAAGAGTAGGAAGATCCTTAGCAGGGTGTGATTCTGGCAGACCAGGCTGGGACCACGGCAGTGAGGTGCCGTATTGAAGGGCTCTGGAAAGCACAAAGTTGCCGAGTATCTGGGGAGTGGTGGTGGGTGGTAAAGTTGATGCAGAAAGATAACAAAAGGGCATGAGGCCCTTGTGCTCTCTTCTTGCCCTGGCCCTCGCCAGTGCCCCAGGGACAGGCCCGTGAGCCCTCCTCTCTCTGCTCCAGCCACACCACTTGCTAATTTATGGAGCCCACTAGGTCCTTTGATCTTAGTGCTCCTGGTGTCAGGAGGGATCTCTCCCTTTGTTTTAAAATGTAGGTTTTATCACTATTCAGGTATGATGAGGCCCACAAGAGAGTTTGTTATTGCTGTGGACTGAATGTCTGTGTCCTCCCTCAATTTATATGCTGAAAATCTAATGCCCAATGTGATGGTTTTAGGAAGTGGGACTCCTGGGAGGTGATTAGGTCCTCGTGAATGGGATTAGTACCCTTATAAAAGAGACCCCAGGGGCCGGCCCAGTGGCGCAGCAGTTAAGCGTGCATGTTCCGCTTTGTAGGCCCGGGGTTTGCCGGTTTGGATCCTGGCTGCAGACATGGCACCACTTGGCAGGCCATGCTGTGGCAGGCATTCCACATACAAAGTTGAGGAAGATGGGCACGGATGTTAGCTCAGGGGAAGTCTTCCTCAGCAAAAAGAGGAGGATTGGCAGCAGATGTTAGCTTAGGGCTAAGCTTCCCCCCACCAAAAAAAAGACTCCGTCTAAATGTCACCTCCTTGGAGAAGGCAGTAGTCAGGGCAGGCCTTTCCTCTTATTTCTTTCAAAGAACCCAGCACAAGTTTTAATTATTGTCTTAGCTGTGGTTCCCTAGAAAACAGAATGAGGCAAAGATTTAGTGCCGATGTTTTATTCGGGAGGTACAAATTCGAGGCAGTGAGAGTGAGAGAGAAGGAAAGGGAGGTGGAGAGGGAGGTGTCCTCACACGCAGAGATGTGCTGCTCTGCTGGCTGCAGCTTCAGGAGGAGTTTCAAGAAGACAGCTGGTTGCCCAGCAGGAGGTCCCATTTGGCCTGTGGCACAGTACGCAGGACAGATTACATGGAGATGGCTGCCTGAGGGCAGTCATGGGAAGGAGAGGGCACGTGTCTTACCTCCTACTCTCCCTGCACTGTTCAGAGTTCTTTCATACTTTGGGCTGCATTGTTTGACCCCTTGGAAGCCAGATGTTAAGACCGCTGTGGTGGCGTTTGTAACTCAAGTCTGGAAGTGACAAGAGAAGACATTAACTCAGAGCACGTAGCTGGTTGGCAGCCAAGGAGAGAGCTCACATTCCCAGGGCACGTGATTGGTCAGCCCCCAGAAGGTCCAGGAGGTGTTGGAATTGAGAGATCTGAAGATATGTCCGACCCAGCATTTCATAAGTGTATCATGCCTGTTGGTCCCCTACTAGACAGAAGCATCTTCCAGGCAGAGACACACCTGCCTGATTTGATGACCTATCCCCAGGCTGGTGGAGTGCCTGGCACAAAATAGGTGCTGAACGCCAAGCTTGCCACACCAAGTTCCAATACTGCAGAGCTTCCCCCAACTTCCCAGGGTAAGTCACTCATGCCATGTGTTCCCCTAATGGTTTTGTTCCCTTTGTCTCCATGATATACTCACAGGGAGGTTGTGAGGACCTGAGGGTACAGAGCATTTCCTTTTATCCTTTCTTTCCTAGTTATGAGCTCAGTGCCTGACATGCAGTGGGTGCTCGGTAAATGTTTGTTGAAATCCATACATGATTAAATGAACAGTGTAATCTGTAGAGGTGGATGGCCAGACATCTGCAAGCATTTTACTGGTGGGCCCACTTGACTTGCAAGACACTTTCCTGTGTTATTGTTCAGAAATATATACAGTGAAACCAAGATGCCCCAACCTAGACATTACCATTTCATTTGTTCCTTACTCACGTGTGAGAGCAAGGACTTTCTTTTCTGGCCATGTGCTAGACGAGATAACCTGAGAGCTTTCCTGCTTATAGAACACCTAAAAATGATGATCTAAATATTACAATTGTTTTTTGAAATGCATAATTAAGCTTTCAAGAAGGTAAGGGGCATCCCCAGAGGCAAAACCAAACATCTCCAGGTGATCTTTGTTATTTGTAGATTCCATATTTGCTAATTTCCCTGACTGCAAAATTTCTTTGTAACCCCAAAGTCAATACTTAGGGCTCTGTCATGGTCATTTGTGGACATGCTCAGAGTGATTAAAAAAATGTGAGTTGTCCTATGTGCATGTTCCCAGCTGAGGTTGAACAAGGCAACATTCTGCTTTCCAGTTTCAGCTTTCATATTGTATACGTGTCCTTTTTACAGTCTCTTTAGTGCTATGTTTTTCACATTTAAGTTCTTTGTGTTGTTGATTTCACTGTTTAAAATGCCCCCCAAATGTAGTGCTGAAGTGCTGTCCAGTGTCCTAAGTGTGAGAAGCCTGTGACGTACTTTCCGGAGAATGTGAGTGTCTCAGATAAGCTTCATTCACGCATGGGTTATAGAACTGTTGGCTGTGAATTCCATGTTTGTGAATCGACAATAATATTTAGTCAGTATCCTTCAACACACACACACATAGAACAAAGTTGTATATTGATCAGCTGATGAAAATGTTGTGACCAGAGGCTCCCAGGAACCTAACCCTGTATTTTCCCTGGGAGCACTGGTTCCATGTTTGCTAATCCAGTGTTTGCAGTGACTTTATAGGACAGAACTACCTCGAAAGATGAGAACCAACTGCATTTAATAGGAGTTCCAAGAGAGAATAGAGGAAGATTGACATCTGAAGGAAAATGGCTGAGAATTTCCCAGAATTGATTTAAGACACACATCTTCAGATTCATGAAGAGCAATGAGTCCTAAGCAAGATCAAGAAAAGTAAAGCCATGTGTTGACTCATCACAGTGAATCTACGGAATGCCCAACATAAAGATCTTTAAAACAACCACAGAGGAAAAGGCAATATAAAGACTAAATACTATCAGATGGACAGTATAATTCTTTTTTTGGTTTTTTGAGGAAGATTAGCCTTGAGCTAACATCTGCTGCCAATCCTCCTCTTTTTGCTGAGGAAGACTGGCACTGAGCTAACATCGGTGCCCATCTTCCTCTACTTTATACATGGGATGCCTACCACAGCATGCCTTGCCAAGCGGTGCCATGTCTGCACCTGAGATCCGAACCGGCCAACCCCAGGCCGCCAAAGTGGAACGTGCGAACTTAACCACTGCACCACCGGCCAGCCCCGACAGTATAATTCTCAATAGCAACAACAGAAGATAGAATATATTGGAATTTCATTTCAAAATACTAAGAGAAAATAACCGATACCCTAATCTAGTCAATGCAGTCATCCTGCCTCATCCATGGTTTCGCTTTCCAAGATTTCAGTTACCTGAGGTCAACCCAGGTCTGAAAACATTAAATAGGAAGTTCCAGGAACAAACAGTTCACAAGTTTTAAATCGCAGGCTGTTCTGAGCAGCGTGATGAAACCTTGCGCCTTCCTGCTCTATCCCGCCCAGGACGTGAGGCATCCCTTCATCCAGGGTGCTCCTGCTGTCCTGTATAGGAAAAAACATAGTATGTCTAGGGCTCAGTGATATTCATGGTGTCGGAAATCGACCTGGCGTCTTGGAACGGTATCCTCCCCAGATAAGGGGGAACTACTGTATAAACATTATTCTAGAATCAGGAGAAAACAAAGCTATTTTCAGACAAACAAGGATTAAAATAATTTTCTGTTAACAGAACCTCACTGAAAGAATGACTAAATAAATGTTTCTAGAGTAAGGAACAACCCAGAAGGAAAGAGTGGGCTGCAAGAAGTGATGATGAAGAAGGAAATTTGTAAGCAAAGGAGTACATCTACAGAAACATTTGATGTACAACAAACACAGAGCTTGAGCAATGGTCTTGACATTCATTCATCCAACAAATATTTACTGAGTATGTAAAATGCGCCGGCAACTGTTGTAGGTGCTGTAAGATAGTGGTAAGTAAAACAGACTAAAAATGCCTGCCATCATGAGGCTATAAGTAAAATATTTAGAATCCTGCAGGATGATATGAGCAAGGGAGAAAAATTAAGCTGGGGCAGGGATACGGAATGTCAGAGAGGAGGAGGATAAATCTTCATCCATGCAGATGGTGTCTAAGCAAGTAAGTGGCTAACTGCGCACGTAGGGCTGCAAGGATCTACCTTGAGGTTGGTGTTCAGAATCTTGTTCCCATCTTTGCCTACACCATCTTAGAGGCAGGACTACCTTTTTGGCGCCCCTCATCCAAAGTTACTTAAAACAAAGAGAAAGGACACTACCAACAACCACCCCTGAACTTCTCCTGAAGGGACAATCTGTGAAGATTAGTGCAAGTGGCAAAACCCAGAGAAGTCAAGGAAGTTACCTTCAGGCTATCTGGGGTTGGGAGGCGGGTGTTAGCAGTCAAGCCTGCCCTTCACAGCTTTAGGGAAAATGTAACAATGGGGGACTGAGAGGATCTTGGTAAGTTGGAGTGTTATAATTTAGAATTTGGAAGGGTTTGATTAGAAGTGTGTTTAAATCAAACCCTTTCGAGGGAAAGTAAGAAACAGATTCTGTGGGTTATGGCCAGTCGTAAATTTGTTTTAATGCCAGAGTTTTTAAAAAGTAGATTTTACAATCTACAAATCAGTTTTATTTATGCACTTAAACTTGATCTATTTTCTTCCTGTTCCTTTGCATGAAATAAGCTGAACTTGCTTGGTATTACTTGGACTGTGAAGCAGAATGATTGTGCGATATCAAGCTCCCAACTTGTAAAATTCGAATTTGTCTAATTATAAACAATGCTCTGAATAGTTTTTTAGGATGGGAGCACCTCTCCTCTGACTTTCCGACCACTTCTGGGAACTACCCTCCCTGTCCAGGTCATGCTGTGTGGAGCCAGGTGGGCAGCACCTGCCAGGCTCCGCTGATGCAAGAGCCAGGAGAGAGAGGGAGGATACTGGTGCCCTACTCACATGGCACCTTGGAACTGACATCCATCCACCCCACGGGTAAAATGGACTTTGTGAGAGACTATGCTGGCAGTTAACTTCTATCCTGACAGGGTCTCCATGAGAAAATGAAGGCTGAGTTACAAACAGCTGAATTTAGTCAATTTTTGCAACTCACACCCACACGAGAGGGATGCAAAAAAAGAGGACAATGACATAAAATCAAGAAGAAAGATTCTTTGCTTCATTGAGGGAAACAAGCTTTGCTCCCAACCCCCAGAATACTTGGCCTTATTTTGGAGAGCTGAACTTGGCTCCAGGTGGGGGGATGGGAAGAAGCTCATGCCAATCAAGCCAAGGAGAAGGAGTCACCCTTGCACCACTGAGGATGAGGCCAAGCAACCGGAACCTTAAGGAAACCAGCTAACCAAACAAAAAAGGTGAACTGATGAGGATCAAGGCTGCCCCAGGGAGAAAAGCCCCAGGCATCCTGGCCTACATCCTCCTCCAGGAAGTATAGGACGTCCTGACCTGATCTGATCTGATTCGTATCCAAAGTTATAGGGCCATCCGATAACCAGACCCCACCTGCACTGATACCATTTTAATGACTTTTTTACATGAACTTTCCTTTGTCTTGTAAAGAAATAACTCACATACCTATGCCTTATAAATTTAGCCCTACCCTCAACCCATTGCAGCTGTTCACTGCCCATGGGTCCTGTCCCCAAGCTACTCCATGCTATTCTCTGAATCAAAGAACACTATTGCCAGACCTTGAGAATCCAAGAAATCTTTTTTTTGACTCCTCGGCTCGCCAAGCCCGCATCATGGACCACATGCTAATTTACCCTAAGCAAGCAATGGTTATTTCCCTTTTGGGAGGGAATGGGCGTGGGGCAGGCAGGGGTCAGTGCCAGAGCAGCCTGGCAGGGAGATGCGAGGAAGCACTGGGAGCTGGGGTGCCTGCTTGCCTGCTGTAGCCCCTGGCCTTGAGCAGTGCTCTCCTGAAGGAATTCAGGTCTAGTGTGAGTCAGAGTTGGCTGTGCTCAGCCTAGCCCAAGTTCAGACTCTGTTCTCTTTGTCCTGGAAGGCTTTGGGAGAATACATCTGGGAAGGGCCACCACAGACAGAACTATGAACTTGAAATCTGAAGGTCGTAATCACTTGTCTTAAGGAGATGGGAACCTGTGTTCCAGAAGGGGAACCTTGCACGTGGTCAATTATGCAGTCTGTAAACCAGAA